AGTGAGTGACGTGAGTGATCGCATACAGGATGACCAATTGTGGGTGTGGTGAGGTTGAGGTTTGAGGGAAGGTCATTTTGCGTCACAGCAATGGTGAGAGAGGGAGAGAGAGAGAGGTGGAGGAAGTGGAAGAAATGTGGGCAATTGGGGGACTACAATGAGGTGTGTTTGATGGGTGTGGGTGGCACCCATTGGCTTAGTCTTCACGACTTTTTTGTTGACGTAGGCATAAACAATTTACTCCACCGCACATGAGACTGTGCATAATTGGGTTACCATGACAACTTAAGGTTACTGAAAATGATTTTATTCCTTTTAAGAACTTCATCGGAGTTGCATTTTCCAATTCATTTTTTCTCTTATACTGCTGCTTTGAAGTCGAGTTAAAATAATTGTGCAAGGCGGACATCCTTTGGGTTCGACCGTAATTTTACGGTATGGAAGTGCAGTATGAGAAAGTTACCGTGTAAAGCGTAGAAAAGAGTAGTACCAGACTGATGCGTATCTGGGGCTCATATTTCGCACAAAACTATTGCATCTCATGTTTTCCAAATAGATATAAAAAGTTATTTCAGTCGAAAACTGCACGAATTTTCGTGGAGTTTCGGTGCACATTGGCCTGCTGAATTGTATCACTAACTCTGTTTCAAAGATTACTTTGGTGCATGGAACGTCCATTGTCAACTTTAACCCAAACATTGAATGTATTAAAGCTAACGAATTGTTTCCACTTTTTGACTATGAATAAAAGTAATCAAGGCGTTTAATTTCATCTAAAGTATCACAATTTATTTAGCCCTAGTTTAGGCGAGTCAATTAAGAAAGGTTTATTTTGAAAATTGATGGTCGTTTCTGCCACTGTTATTGCGATGTCGGAAAGTTGGGCTTTGACTTAACGCGTAAAGTGGAGATGCCATTTAACAGATAGGCTAATAAATTTGGTCACCTTAAAGAATCTTCAGTGCTCCCATGGCACGGCTCATAAAGTCGTCTTAATCGTTAAGTGCTTAGTAAAGCATGTTTAATGTGTTGCGCTTTGAGGCCTAAAATGGGCTAGATTTGACAACGAAAGGAATGGAGGTCTTTTGAATTGCGATAGCGCGATAATGGACAATGTGGTAGGTTTTTACTGTCTTTGGAAGTACCTTATACATGGTCATGGTTAGAAGATCCGAGATGTAATTGGTGTCGAAACAATCTTGAAGGTGTGCTTGAAAGAAAGTGGAAAATTTCAGTACTATAGCCAACACTTTTAACTTTGAAAGACAATCAGTGTAGCTATCGATGAAGGTTTTTCAATGCTGGACGGAAAAGTCTTATCTGCCGGGTCAAAAGGCTCCGTTGTTTGGTAAAGTAGCCAAGCTGTAATCTCTTGCTGTAATCACATCTGGTTAGAGGCTTCCCTCGGAGATTATTTCGTTTAATCACAGGAAAATAAAACATTTCATTTCCATTGGCAGCATCGCATTGTAGTTGTGGCGGTGTCGAAATCTACTTATTTAATAGGCTATTGTCTTGGAAAGTATGCGCACCTAATCCCTTTACTGAGCTGACTCTAGGATGAGGAAATAATTGTCAAAGGTCTGACTACAGCCACCTGTCTCTGAGCTAGTGTAATTTTTCTCACAATACTGGAGGTCACTCGGGTGGCGAAGCCTGACATCTGCCATGGTGAGGTAGAAGAAGGAGAAGGGGGTGAGGGAGGAAGGGGGGAAAGCGGGAGGTGGAAGACGTGAAGCGGGTTGAAGAATGTGGGGAGGAGAACTTGTCACGCCTCCTTGGCAAGTTGGAGACTGGCAGCTTGGATTGATGGAAATTTCACCCTCCATTGACAATATCTCTTCCTACCTCAGATTTTCAAAAAAAAACGTGACTCGGTTAAACATGCTTTGCCTATCAGGCTCATTATATCCACTCGCTTATCATACTAAAGGCATTGCTAATTGTCAATGTAACACACGTCTGAAGCATCATCTTGATTTGAGCTCTATGGCAAGCAAGACTGGATTTACACTGAAGGAAATGGCACTTTATGTTCACTTTTAGCTAGCGCTGGCTTACTTTGGCGTTTTTCTCGGATTGTTTTTTTCAAGAGCTTTTTTGTCGGAGGAAGAGCAGGTGATGTGAAACAAAAGAGGGTGTGTGTGCGTAATAGCCTCTGCGGGACGGCTTTCATCTGGTTGGCTGCTTACTTTTCAAGTTTGAAGTCTAACCCGGTCTTGAGGGCAGCAGGTCCCAAACTTTTTTTGCGCTTATCTTCCTCCGTTTGCTTGGCATAAGCCGATTGCTTGATTACTATGGCGAATTTCATTTCTTCACACCTCATATGTGGGCCACGCTATTTGTTTTTAAATGTATTTTACCAGAATAAATTGAGACTGCAAACAGTTAAAATTGAGTTTCATGAGCAACTTTGACGTGTTGTCCTTTTTATTTACGAAACGTTTATCCACATTTCAAATCGCGTAGAGTTCTCAACCAACTCTCGCTGATTCCTGGCACTTATCCATCGGAAACTGTGGCAAACGAGCTATGCAATGAGTCGCACATGTTGGAGGCAATGGGTGCTTTTTTTACCATGAACACAAGGATAAATGTTAGTGACCTAACTATGGTGGGTGGATTGTTCTGCTACGTGATCTCCCTATTAAGTATTTTTATGCAAGGTTATTCAGTGCTCTTGGGAAATTTGAGCCTCATTCAATTTCTTCGTGTGCACTCTATCACGACTTACTTATTCGCATCATTAGCACATTTTCAGTTTGATTATTTTGATGCTGCTTTAATGTTGTACTCCAAGTAATGCTTAAACTGCAGTTGCTTGTAAATATCTGGTTCCTGGATGAGTGCTTTTTCTATTTCAATGATTTCGGTGTGTTCAACTGGTTTTTTTCTCGCTTCGTCTCGTTTAGACTCAGGTTCACAAGATGCTTCTCTGGCTCCCTTTCTGGGCGAATTGGCGCGGCGTCGGGGCGAGGTGGAGACTGTGGAGGTGGCCGAGCATGACGGCTACGGAGGGAACAAGTACCTCTTGCGTGCTTTTGCACCCCTTGCTGAGTTGACAGGCTTTTCTGCTGCAGTTCGCAGCCTCTCGTCGGGCCGTGCCGATATTGTCCTCCGCTTTTCCCGCTTTCAGCCCGTCTCCACATAGCGGCAGATTGGACTGACGCAGCACGCTTCTCCTCATTTTCCATCCTAGAACCACTCCTCTGCCTAAGTTAGCGCTGAAGAAGTTGACTCTATGTCCTTCGTGTTTTCTTCTGCCTGCTCCTCAAGTAGGATGGGTAGTCATAACCTATGCACGGATTGTACACTACTTTGGAATACTTGACTAATTTGGTATTTTTACAGCTCTAATCGTTCGCGTGCTTTGACAGGACCTCCTTGGAGCAAACCTTTCAAAAGAGAACCAAAAGCTACTTGTCCGCTTTTATAATTTTAAGTTTGTGCTCAAACAAGACTACAAAATGCACATAATTACGGTCATTTGAGGTTAATGGAGTGCCGTTTTGGATTGTAAATGGTGGTTTTTATTGGGTCGAAAAAATTTATTGGATGGTGTGTGTTACAAGGTTAGTAAATGGAAATGGAATTTTTAGATGTGACTCTCGCTATGAAAGCCTCTTAGCTTGTAACTTGACAGGTTGGAGGCTCTTTTGAAGGGCAGTGGTTACATTATGCTACATTTAACTTATTTGAAAGCAGCAAGACAATTTTGCCTCCCATAACCGTTGCTTTGTGTTCTCCCAAATGGATTGTAACTGCAAAGTAGTTTCTAGATTGAGGAAATCAATGGCATAGGTAGCTGCGGTGTAATTAGCAGCCATTCGTTTGATGGTAAACTGAATTTCCGGTATCTTAGATAAGCGTTTGTCGATTCCGCTTAAGTTTTTTACTTGAGTTAGTCTGCAGCTCATTTTTTTCAAAGACCTAAGTTTATTTTTTTGCTTCGACAACGTGGCACGTGCTAGACCTGCTCATTTCATTTTGACTACGCCTTTAATCCTAAGGTAAAAGCGGAGGGAAGTATCTTATTCCAGCACATTGGCATAGAATTAACTAAGAGGTTTCCTCAACTCCATTTCAGTAATAATCGTGGCAATGCTAAAACACAAATAACTGCCATAGTTCATCTTAAGGCTCTGGGGGTTTTTTTAACTTTAAAAGGCTTAGGCAGGAACTCCAACTTACTGTGGTCAATCTACTTTTGCTTGAAAGACATCCACAGCTCTCATGGTTTACCTCGGCATTACAATGCTGCTGTCTCTCAGACAGTCGCTGCAGAAGAGGCCTCATGACAAGGTTAATAATGATAGTATTGATGCTGACTTAATGTATACAACTTTATGCTGAAGTTACAGTTTTGTGTTACGACGAACAATGAAGCTACTTTATCCCATTTGGCCCTCTTTACGGCCCATCCACTACTTGTTGGGGGGTCAGTGTCTAGTGTCTCGGTGAACATGCAATTTCCATTGATAGGCTGCCATTCGACTCACTTTATTGCCCTTATAGAGCGCATATAACGAGCCTTATGCCCTTCCCTATTATTAATCATAAGTTCTGCCTAGTTTTGATATTATTGTTATTATTATTGCCCATAGTGTACATTATCGCGAGGCTCTACGTCACGAAGTTTGTTTGTTTCAAGGGCCCAGGATCATCCTCTATGATCACGAATGTCTGCTTGATAGAGATTTCTAGGAACTGTCCCGGCTGGGCGTGGAATGAGCTTGCCAATTGCTCTCAGACCTGACTTGTTCACTCGCCGATTTGACAAGCACAACGACGCTCAAAAGGACCTGTAATTACTGGTTGTGCACGCACACACACACGTCTTAGTGGGAGGTGGAGAAGAGGCGGGACAGGGTGGAGTGAGAATGCCGGTTATGGACGAGGTATGGGTGGCCACCATAAACGCTTCCATCAAGACTGAGTGAACTAGAAAATCTACAGTTAGCTTCTCAAATTATGTATGAAATGCGAGACATGTTGGTTTTCTTGCAAAGTGAAAAATTCGAGTTTGTCAAGCAGTGGATTTAATTTGGTTGCATCTGTTTCTTGTAACGACGTGGATGAAATAGAGGTTTATTTGGGTTTTATGCTATGAGCTGTGCGAAGTGAAGCTAAATAGAAGCCACTGTTGTAATTACCATTGTTGTCTATTAAAGGTATTTAAATTAATTGCAAAACTGTGGTATTTTGGGGTTTGAGAAAGGTATGTCAACCAATTTGAACTATTGTGATTAAAGAAATCAGATTCTGTTTAATCGTAAGAGCTTTACATGAATTAAGGATTCCCAATAGTAAGTGAAATTCCATGAGATGCTTTTATGGAATGAGTTGGGTAGAAGTGATGACAAACTGTGGTGGGATTAAGTGGGTGACTTTCTTCACTAAGAAACCATCAGATGTGGTGGGACTAGTCACTGGTGAAGGCACATTTATTTTCGAGTGGCGAGGTGTGCGTGAATTTAAAGCAGGACATTAAGAGCCTCCGTTTATGGAACCGGCAATGCAGATTTCGGGCAACCGCTCGTCGCTGCTTCATAGCCTCATAGGCTTGCTGTCATCACAGTTCGGAAATAGTGAAGCAGTGTTGCACTGCCCTTCTGCTTAATGCTACGAAAAATAGGCGAGAGATCTTATAACAGACTGGTTTTGAATGATTTCTTCGATCTAGACTGAAAAGCTAGTGAAAGAAGTCGCCGAAACTGGTAATAGGTAACTTGGAAGTTCATGAGTCGCTCAAATTGGAAGCTATCATCCATTTGTTTACTCAGTGCTTGACTGTTAACTAATGCCAGAAAAGCTCAGTGAAAAAGGAAAATCTTTCTATAACACATCGATTCGGTGCTCTTCATTGCTCATCCTCTTAATTTCATTGCAATAAATTTGCAATCACTGCTACATCAAAAAGCGCGTTAAATGTAGGAAATTGGTCTTTTGAAAAATGCTCCAAAAGCTCTACTCATTCCGGTCGACAGGAGTGCATGCGGTGTGACGCATTGTCGGCCAAAGCTAAATAAGTAGTTAGTTGAGTATTCAAAGACAAAAGGTTTTGGGTATTTTAGTTCAAAACCCACCATGTTAGGCACAAAGTCGCAGGCCTACCCTGGCCAAGCTGTTTGTAGAGCCAGCATCCAGGTGGTTTTGAGTACATGTTTCAAAGGAGCCTTTTGTAAGGTAGAACCACCAATTCCGAGATTAAGCTGGTGATAAAACCGACTACGTGACACGAACATCCGCTTTAACTCCACCCTTTTTAAGCGTATCAAAAGATGCGTAAAAATTCTTAAACCACGAGCAAAGTTAAAAGTTCTGAGGCAGAGAAGAGAAGATAACATGCTGCCGTTCGGGTTGGCATTACAATTGGAGTGGCGAATACTTTGGGCTATTAAAATCAAACTGTACAAGTGTTTGGTGCTTCAATCTGCTACCCTAAATGGAGTCATTCCCTTTTGTGTGACCAGTTGATTGACATGGCTAGTTATTCCCTCATTGTTGCGGGATGTCTTCCACTCGCTGTTGTTGAGAGTAGTTACACTTTTCAGGTTACAACTTCCCACTTTAAAGGGCAGTTGAACTGAAGGGAAATAAAATGAAGCAAGTGTTAGTAGTCCAAATAATGGAGAGACTTGGGTACTATGATGCAAACTTCATTGTTTTAGAATTTGGCAGGAATGAGATCAAGCAACTATCAGCAATTTACCTCCGCATTCTTCATTGCTTTTGTAATCCATTGCAATGAGTGAACGTTTTGCAGTCTTCACACTGTCTCACCAGTGGTGGAAATGGGTTAATTAGGACTCCAGCAATCTCATTCTGCATGAACCAAAACTTTCGCCAGAGGTATGAAGAGGCGTCACTTGAGTCCTGTAGCATTGACCCAAGCGGTCTCGTGAGCGACAAGACATTGTACGACAAGTCACTTATTCCTCCGTTTTACTTGTAGGAGGAGATCATTGTCTGTTGTCGATCTGCATTCACCTTAAGTGTGTTCAGAGAATGGTGGCGGTGAACGCACTCAGTTGCCGTTAAAAGTTTTACTACTGAAGCAGACGCAAGTATTTTCTTCTGCGAATATGAGAATTAAATTGAGTATAAAACAATTTTCCAACTAATTTTTTTCATTCTTAACCAAAGTTTTCCATTATATGTGCTGCGTTGCGAAACCTATAAAGGTTGAAGACGTGAAATTCTGGGCAGACTTTCTTTCCTTATTGCCCCAAATGGCAATGCTAATGAGGTTGTTCAATTGCGTTGAGCAATAAGTAAACGTTAAGTGAATGGCTCCTGTCAACTGCCGAGGACGCAGCAAAGTTCCTGCATGCGTTGCCACCCGTGAGTGCATTTTCCATTGCGCGCCGAGGGCACCACCACTTCGCATTAAACCTCATCGACAACCCCAAATGGTCGTCCTTGGAAACGCGCCAATTCCTAGAAGGAAAACTTATAAAACAAGGAATCCCGTTGTTCATGGTTAGGAGGTTTATTTGCTTCTATTTCCCGACTAATGACAAAGTGATTGCTCGAATAAATTAGTGAGAAGGGCTTTTTTCCGTAGCATTGAGCTATCGACCCCACCTTAGGAGGGAAGGACAACCATTCAACGTTTTCTTACTTATTCGTCTCCTTAGTCCTCTAATTGCTTTGCTCTCCTGAAAGCAGAATTAAATCGTAATTTTCTTGAACAACTTGGCTTCAGACGTGTATTTTTGGCCTACTAATCATTAAGTCCTAGTTTTTTTAATGCTCTCTTCCCACACCCAATTGGCATAAGACAGTTTCTAGGGTGGTCTGGGGCTACCTCAAGAGACGTGGCACAGGGATTCTCCATTCTTTTGGGTGCGTCTAAATATTCTTTTTCCCATTCGTAAATTGAATTTTAGAATTTACACTAAAAGAACTCAACCACTTTCTCTTTAAAGGCTGATTTATTATCCACTCTTGAAAACATTAAATAGCTCTGCATATTACCCTCTGACTCCGACTACGGGATGGCAATCCAAATCAAGGAAAGTAAGGAGCAGTCAGATTTGAAATAAAACTGGTGAATTTCAGTTAATGCTCAGTGTTGTTGTTACTTCCGTTTTGCCAAGAAGGAGGTTAAATGAAAGTTAGACAAACGAAATCAGTAGAGACGGCTGCTGCAACAACAACATGGAAATGAAATTTGTCTAAACAGTGACTCCATAATGACTTTCCTGCAGTGAAACTGCAACTTGTATTTCATTTACCGCAGTAACTTTGAAGCAAAATTTATTGAGACTAAAATATACAATTTAGATGAATGCCAGCAGTGTGAATGTCAAAAGGCGGAACCTGGATATGCCTCACAAATCACACTGAGTTGTGTGACCCACCTATTGCATCATTTCCACCTCGAGAAACCTTCCAATCACCCGCAAATTCTCTCAACAGCATTCTAAATGAATTGGTTTTATGATAAAAACGCGTTTATGGTGAAGTGGGTGACGATGCTAAAAATACGCCACGAACTTGAAGGCGGCCTTCACTGGTGATGTGCTATTGCTGGATAGCCACACCCATTATTTCAAAATTTTTGATTTTATTATCTAAGGACCCATTTATACTTTGCTAACCCTCAGCACCTTTACAGCCTTTAATTCAAATGATGAGGCAAACCAACTAGTGGGTTTTCAGGCCCCTCTCTTCAACCACATACGTACTTTGCTTTGTTTAGGAATTGCACATAGAGCTGTGGTTTTAGTAAGCTGACAGCCACATTCTAGGCTGCGAGGAGGATTCGATCACCATTAGATCTGTGTTGCTGATTACTTGGTGCTTCTAAGAAATCGGAGACATTTTCTGCTTGCTAAGATGAATAAAACTTAAGAGTACCCTTTCCCCACGAGTAAACGAAACTCAGCCGTGTCATCCATCGAAATATTTTCCGTTAAAAAAGCGAAAGCAAATGTGTGGGAATCATTTTAGCTAGAGATTGAAGGAGTATGGAATGTTTGCATAAATGCATATGTACAAGTACGAACCGAGCCAGGTAATGCAAGCGTCAAACATTTTGTTCGTCGCTCAGGATTTTATGGGGGGAAGGGGAGAGTCCTCGCTCATTAACCCCATCCTCAGATTCGGTAAGGAATTTCATGGGAGAAAAGTGCTTGATTGCGGTTGTGTCGATCTCAATTCGACCAATATTAGGCTTAGTGTACATTTGCTGGAGCGTTGCCGGATGCGCTGGCACCGCTTGTAAGCTACTAGACGGTGCTTTGTGCAAAAGAAACTGTGCCTTAGTAGAGGGAATGCATTCCTGAAGGCCACCCTTGTTATTGGCAACCATGAAACAGTCGGTGCTGTGAGTGTCATTTTTTATAGTACTCGCCTCGCGAATGCACAGAAATGGAGCGTAGAGGCCCACTGATCCTTGAGTTTCTGGCCCGTAGAGCTCAAAGGGTTGCAACTCAAAGGATCCCGCCTCGTTGATGGCACTGGGAAAGTTTTTCGTGTCTGTTGTGTCACTGGCGGTAGGGTGGGAGACGGTTCGTGCACTCGCCTCGGAGGTGGGCGTGCATTTTATTTCAGCGAAACCGTGACACTTGGACTCCGTCTCCAATGCGGCTGCAGTATGGAAGAGATTGATTGCATTGTTAGGACTACGAATGAATGCAGTGCTCCGCGCCTGAGGATTGGAGTAGACGCTGGGAGCGATGGATGCCATAGGGTTGCGCTGGATTGTGGAGTCAGGCAGCACCAAGGGCTGGAACATGGAGGTTTGATTACTCCATTCTCGGCTGGTAACCGGCACTGACCAATTAACGTATTCATAGGCGGCGCAATTCGGCTTTAAAAAATGGGAAATATATTGCATAAAACAGAATTTGATGTTAATTTAAATACGAAAATTACTTCAAAATGGATAGCCAAATGCATTTTGATGATAGGCAACCGCACTTCTCAATCACAGGTAACTTAATTTCTCTTCCCTTCAATCGTTAGATTAGTTGATCAAATGCCAAGGTAGCGCCTAATTCTGAAGTCATAAACAGTCTAGTGATGCTGGTCAGATTTTGCTCTTCGATTTGGCAGGGAGGAGCGAATGCTGTTCGAAATGTCTAATTACCCTACTACAAAGCCAACAGGTGTAAAAATAAATCAGTCTGAATAATCAGGATTGAGATTTTGAAGGATGGGGTGAATGGAGTGAGCAAGTAGAACGCCTACATTTTGTGCGCCCATAGCACCTCTGTTTTTATCATCACAAAGTCGTCAGCATGGCAAAGCAATACGGCTGGGGAGCACCAGTTGGATTAGTGGACAAAGCATTGCGTTTTGACTAAAACAATGCTGGGGTAATCACAAAACTTTTATTTTTCCAAAACAAAGGTAACTAAAAGCTGAGGTACCGTTTTGTAGCCTAAAATGCATTAAAGGGATTTGAAAAAGTGCCAGAAAATTGTATTAAGCAGTCTTTAAAAACTGAGGGAGAGGGAATTTGGGATGACATCGTTTTACCGATAAGGGTTGACACTTACGGATTAAAACTGGAGTTTTCTCTTATGCCATATTTATATGCATCGCCTTGGACTGCGTGTTGTCTGAATGCCTACGACTCTTCCGGTTACGCGTTATCATAGTAAATGCATTTTGAGTGTAATTAAAGTGTAGGACAGAATAACACGAAGATTGTGAATCAAGTACAAGTAGCGTGCCTTTTTCCCGGCCAGCATTTCGGTACGTCTGCTTTGGTTTTGTCGCTTGAGGGCAATGAGTGAGATGGCGAGCACCACGACGATGATAATGGAAGTGATGGCGGAGACGGAGATGAGTTGAGGCTGTGTGAGGCAAACGGCGTACCTGCAGGGTCCCGCTCCATCCCCAACAGCTCTCTCTTCCCCTTGAGGGTTCAGTTGCAAGTTTGCTCTGTCCTTCCCCTCCGCCCGACCCGCCAGTACCAGTGATTCTGTCAAAAGCAGTTAGCAAGTCCACATTCCTTACATCCTTACAGTGTCGTGATTGAAGCGTATTTCTAAATCGTTTAATTTTGAAATGAATGACATGTGCAAAGCTTATTTTATAAATGAAATCAAACTCAAAATTCAAGTTGTGCTGTGGTAAAGAACAAGTCCATCTCTCCTAATATCTACTTTTGCATTACTAAGCGCTGAAACCACTTAAATTATCCTCCTGCAAACTGTTACTATAGAAAGAAAAAGGCAATAAATTTGTGTGTTCGAAAACACGTTTAAGACGACGTTTCATTTAGCCTTGCTTTGCGTCATTTAACACAACAAAGAGAAGTCTTTGACAGACTTCCTGCGCACATTTCTGTATTTTCCTCTCGAACCGTACCCTTCGAGAGGGGAAGAGGGAGGGGGGAGTGATCACGGGCAGTGCTGAACGCTGTCAAAACCACTTTTGCGATTTTTCCTCGCTCACGATGGTGGAAATAAGACAGGTTAGAAGTAAGGCTCGACATTTACCCTTAACTTTAAGATGTCATTTAGTGGTGGTTGATCGAATTGCATCTTGACAACACAACCACTTAGCGGATATTCCTATCGGCCCTACACAATGTCCAATGATAGGATTTAAGTATATTATGACTTTTGACGTACTGATGGTATCTCTATGCCGCCCATAATATGCGATCTCATTGTTCAACTAATAACACGCAGTGACCGTTTCCAGAAATTGAAAATAGTCTCCAACTTTTATTTGCCTATCCTGTGTTGCAAAAAAATCCCGTTCAGATTATCACCTTGTTGGCTACTGAAAGGTGACGCTTACTAAAATCAGGACATGCACTACAGTCAGAAGTCTTCTGTGCCTTTGGTCTGTGAGTGGAAAGCTCTCAACTATTTAATTTGCTGCATTGCTTAAGCCAAAACGGGATGCGTAACTAACTTTTTTGCGAGGGTACGACGTTAAGATGCACCCATCGGTCGAAGAGACGATACTTGACACCCCATCGCTTATTTGAGCTGTAGGTCTCTACCAAATTGGCACAGTCCAGATCCTCCTAAAAGTAGATGGGAAACTTGAAAGGCACCGTCTGTGCAATTCCCATCCCACTTCTTTTCCACCATGCGACGTACGCTTGTAATACCGTTAATGTGTGTGGAAAGACGAATGAAGGAAAATGATGTGAGTCGCACAGGTCTCACCTAAAGACCTAGTAAGCATTCCTCCTCCTGCATTCGAATACTTTCTAGTGAAATAACATTTGAAGGAGGGTAGATGCGGCGACACCTATCTGGTGTTTCATCTCTGAAATGTCACCTTATCATCCATCTCCTGCGTTTTCCTGCAGGCTCTATCATGTCACGCTCCACATCTCTCTCGCCTTTCTACCCGCTGAGTTTGTCTAAAAGGGTGATTCGGACGCGTACACAGTGTCTTAGAGAGAAAGGAATGACACAGGCGCCCTTTAACGGAGACATTCTGAAATTTCTCCTTCAAACGTCTCAAAATTTCACAAATTGTTAGACAGGAAAAATGCATGCAGTTTAGGTGCAAACAAGCAATTAAGGCGCCTTTTCTTGACTTGGAAGTGCAGGAACGAGGTTCTAGACTTGTGGAGATAAACTTTTGGAAGGGATTAGATGAGATAACAACATTTGGAGGAAACGAGAACCTACAAGAAAGGATGCTCAAAACTTATGCGAAATAATAATTAATACTATGTCGGTGTGAGCGCATATTTGAGGAAAAATTTTAAACATAATGTCAACTGCATGACAAGAAGTGCAAGTTTTAGGAAATTGACTTTTGCCAAAAATAGCTATGTTGCCGTTTGCTGGTCAGTGAAGGGGCTCCGTGCGCAGACAAGTCATGTGTAGCCCTCAAACCATCCTAACGGTGATTTGGAGGTGGACATTTTCATGCGTGAATAGGCGAAACGCCCTACTTTCGCTGGCTCAAACTCTGTGCAGAATAACAAATGGACAGAGTCGGTACTAAGATAGTTGCAAAACAGACAACCGTTTCAAGACAGTGCGAGCGATTGTGCTGCTAATGGAATTGCTAGTAGGTAGTGTGTGTGTGTGTGTGTATGTATGTATGAAACACTGACCATCCTTCAGCCTTCCTTTTTTATTTTGCGAGCACTTAAGACTTCGCTTTTGTATTTCTACTAACCAGCCTGGTCTCTGGTCCACGCGATTAGCTTCAGCTCTTTTTTGTGCATAGGAATTATACTTTTTGTCTTACCATTGTACCTTCTTTCCTTGATAGAAAAGACTCAAAATGTTGCATTGACAACATCAACAAATGTTTGCTGTGAACTGGAGAATCTGCAACGACATGCACAGAAGAATTAAAAATTAGCTTAGACCTTCGGCTTCTGCAGAGTTGGATGAAAGTGTCAACCTGGTGAGCATGCGATGCCTCTTCCATCCCTCTTCTAACTGAGGGATATTCTAATGAATGAGACTAGACAGGATTGGTGCGAATACAGAGGAGCAAGTTGAAACAGACAAGAAACATTTCCCCTCATAACTATGCGAGACACCGACCTTTATCAAACAATTCTGTTTTTAGGTCAGTTTTTATGCGACTGATGATGGATATACAAAGTGGTCTGACATTATATTCATCTAAACTCTAAGTAGCATGTGAATTCGATGGTCGGCGCGATTGTTTTATGGGTGTTTATCACCCAGCATCAACCATCTTTTGCTAGCTGACGCTTACTGTGGAAAATGATCAAAATCGAAAGAGACTTTGCAGCGCTTTGATCAGTTGTTTGACGTCCTTTTTATTGCGTTGATCGTTGGGACACCTCTCATGCAATTTTGCCCCACAATGTGGCCTTAGAGCCGTGGCAGCAGCCTTTCAGCCTAGGTTAACCGCGATAATGTACATTCTACCTCATTATTGCTTCCTTTTGTCTCCAGGATAGTCTTAGGTAGCTGCACAAGTGTCGCGTATCATCGTTTCATCAACCAGGGCATTTCTGAGCAGGGTTAATTTTGTCGGGCAAATTGCACTTCGTGTTTGCAGGCAAGACTCTTTAGTTGGAGATAAACCGAAATGGCTCTGGCATGAGGCCATTGCTTGCACCACACGCACACTTTCCCAGCAAAAAGCTTCATAGTCTGCTCACTCCTTTACACCATCAACATTTCGCCACTTCGAGTGTTGACGAAGTCACTTCAGGTGTGGGGAAACATCTCAATTGGCGAGTACTATCAAAGTTAGTGGTAAAGTGAACTTGTGGAGCATTAGTGGCGCATTGTACGTGAATAAATAGTTGTCACTTTAGATTAGGAAAAAGTCACGGAAATTGTGAACTATAAATCTCCTCTCCTCGATTGCATAAATAACTCTTCCTAAAAGTTAAAGAATTAGAACAACCGGAGCCAGCAACACTTTTTCCAGGTGACTTTTAGACACTCTGTGGGATAAGCAGGGGCTTAAGTTCCATAATCATTCGCTGTGGTCTTGCTCAAAGCGTCCAAAATAATAGTGCTTTATCTCCCTTTTGGCACGCAATCATTTGTTCTCCATTCTCATGCTTCAAACGCTCCGCTCCTCTCGAAAATTTCGCTCATCTGCATCTTTTGGCTTTGCGATTATCGCAAAATTCTCTCCATTTGATGATGCCTCAACTTTGCCCTAAGAACGTTATGTTTAAAGTCACTACGTTCGTGATGGAGCTGAGCGATTTAAATCACCAGCTGCTGGTTTCACTTCGCTGGATGTGGGGGCTTGCAACTTGCAAGTTTTTCTGACCACTCCAATGAAGGACACGAATTAGATGGATTTTAGTACAATGCCCTAATGCATTCCTAAGGTAGACTTACGAACTTGCATCCTTTGAAATAAAAATAACTGAACGTCAATGACCAGTGTTTGAATTGAGGAAAATGGAATTAATTCGAAGCATTTGTGCAATAGAATCCACATAAGCAGAGGGAAAGGAGACGACTTACCACAGAGCACAAGGTGAATTGGGGGCAGTACCTGATGAAGCATCGGATGAAGAGGGAGTTGAAGTTCTCAATTCGAAAGACTTGGAAAAATTGAGTCTGCAACTGTCGACCCGAAAGTTGTGACTGCTCGAATTGAATGCGATGCGCCTTGTTGCTCGATGTGCATCTAAAATAGTCATCTTTCAGTAAATTGCAGAAACAGACTTGGTGAAGGATGCAACTCGAGGTAAGTGCCATTCTGAGGTAGAATACATGGAGGTTTATGGGTGATTCCAAGGCAAAAGACTGTCTGTCTGAAAGACTAAAGGGAAAAACATTGACTTCCCAATTCACATTTTGGCGTTTGACGGTTTGCTATTACCTAAAAATTATGGTAATGGGGCGGAAATTGTGCTATTCAAATTGTTGCGATAGTAACATTTATGATCTTGCTCAATGCACATAGACTTTGTCTTGAATGGAGCATACAAAAGGCACTCCCCATTAAAAAGGCATCTTGCTTCGGTAATTTTTGAACTTTAACAGCACGTAGCGTACATCTTGGAAAGCATGACATACCCTGCCGCATAAATGAGAAAACCCGAGTAGATGGAGGGGGAAGAAAACTGCGAGCCGCTAATCGAGGCAAAACAACTCTCCACTGCGATAGAATCTTGTGCTAAAAGGAAAATTTCGTCCTGTCACCCAAAGCACTGCACTCCACGCTCCGTTCTGCACTGCGGAACCGAAAAGCGCACGTCCACATTGTAGTACGCAGCATCTTGATGCGGAATTACTGTCCAGCAAATGATTCCCCATTCATTATTCAGCGAAATACTAAGAAACATTAACCTGCACTTTAAAGTAAAAAAATCTACACACGACCAACTGCTTAGCATTTAGATTTAAAGCCAAGTTGACGATGGTTGATGAAACTTTATAAGTCACTTGTCTGTAGTTTGCCAGCTTCAGTCCCTGTAGACGTTGGTTGAGGCAAGTGGATGCAAAAGGTCTCGAGGTGCACCCTCATATTTCACTCCTTCATGCCTTCAAATCCAAATTAAAGGAGACACTGATTCGGAATGCTACGGCCAGGACCTTTTTATGTAAGTGAAAGGAGTAACTGCCACAACGATCCCGTGGGCCACGCAGTTCCGTTGCTTTGGCGTTGTGGAGACCATCAGCTTATTCCAAGCCCATCTAACAGAAGCATCATGGTCGATTGTGAAGTCAAAACATACAGACTTCCCGAGCCACAAGGAAAGGAGGCAAGTTTGTGTCTTACAAAATCAAATATGGTTCGGTTAAACCTTTGTTTACTCAAGTCTTTTTCCTTGTACATAGGCGGAGCAAAGCTGGACAAGAATTGAGTAATTTTAGACACTTTCAATGGGTATTGTGTGTCCGAAAGGAAACAGCGTATGGTTAACAATCTTGCAAAAGCGATTGACTTAATTGACAACTCCACTTGCATTCATTTTATACTCCTCGATAACACTTTCGGCAAGTCAACATTTTAGATAGCGTAGGTTCTAAAGGCTAACAGTGGGATACAACGAAGTAGTGGAAGTGCATCAAGACATTTTCTGACCTACTCGTCATTGCACATCCTGCGAAAAACATTCTTTGGAATACAAAGCAAACCTGAGCATGCATTCCTTCAACCTGTAGTTAAAATGTGAGTAGTGGATAAAGTTTGGATTGTTCGAGCAAATGCACAACTCTTAGGCATCGTATGGAAGCTAATGCCAGTGACACTGACACAAGTTAGCTCCTGTTTGGCCCTCTGTGCGTTATTTAATGAAAGCAGAAGAGGAAGGAGAACTTTTAAGTTTCCAGCTTGCCTAATAAATCAACTTAAGTCTCTGCGACAAATAATCTTATTAGACGAAGGAGCTCTTACGTAGATTTTAGTAAATTTACTTCTCAATGACCTGGTTTCTGTCTATTCGTCTTCGTGGCATCGCAATCTCACCAGCCAGTGAGCAGTGAACATGCCGCGCGTGTCAGCAGAGTCTGTATTTCGGGTAGCGAGGATAGAAATATGGTGCTGTTGTAAAACTACCCACCGTCGCTATTGCTGGGGTGAAGGCTGAACCGAAGTGAAATGTTTTCGCCCTCCTTCACCTGTTCCACCTCTTGTAGGTGCTTGTTCACAATCGCCATGCTGACGTTGACGTTGGTTTGTCTGCGCTGACTTTAGGTCAGTGAAAAGAGACAAAAAATTGCATCCTTTAAAGCAGTCAAATTTAAATTGCATGTTAAATTCACTTGTTTTTTAAAATGCCTTTCCGCTTTACGGTAAGTTGGGCGTACTACTAATGTGACTGCTTCTATGGTCATTCTCGTTGATCCTTCAAAGATTATGCTTTTTTTCTCGAAAATAACAGCGACGATAACTTCTGTCTATTATGCTTTATGAAGTTAACGTAGCAGGAAAGGGTTACAATGTAGCAGTTAGGTACAATCCGATAGCTTGAATGCAACAAACGGCATTTGTTTAAGCACCGCCTTAAATAGAGCTTGACTGACTGATTAAATGGACCAGTCTAAGGCTAGGAGTTTCAATGTGAACTCACAGCATCTCATCGCGTCGCTCTCTCGCAAGTCTGTGGTCAATGCAGGAAAATGTCAGGCTCAAGTCTCTGGCGGGATTGAGAAGGGACTCCTCCATCACAATCTCAATTGTTCCCTGATACCGCGTTCGCCCACCCTAAAAATGTGGCAAGTGTACACCTTCGCACTTAGACAAATTTGCATCCTGGAGCCTTCGTTTGCGTCAACAGGTCGTTTCAACATCAAGACAAAGATGTCCAATTTCCTAAATCCTCAATCAGCACGCGAATACTTTGAAGCTTTCCGCCTCACTTATTAAAGTGCTAAGTGATGCTTCTTGAATGGTTGTACGAGAATGCGAAATTCCCATATTTAGTCCAGTTTGGCGAGGTGCAACTTCGCCTTAAGCATTTGCAACCAAATAAACACAAATACAGAGGAATCCACAACCATAAAGTTGGACGATTAGGCTAGGCAAATTATAGTGGTGGAAGCTCATATCTGTAAAGTCGTAAATTTTATAATCACGTTTGAATGATCATACGATATGTACTGCATTCTTGGGATGGATGGAAGCAATTAAAAGTGTATGTTTTGAAGTCCTTGATGTGATAGAATCAAAGTAAACAGTAGTTGGGCATAAATGTACTTTGCGAAATCTTTTCTCTGACCCAGGATGGCAAAAGTTATAATTAAATTTTCTTTTCTCCTTACCCTTGGGTTCATTTACACTTGGCAAGAATTGAAGGGCCATTTTATGGTCGTCGAAATAGAACTGTTTTATGCCGTTGTTCGCACCATGAAAGACGTTTGAGAACCCAGTCAATTTATCATCTACGTCTCAACTATTATCTGCTTAGTGACCACATTCGTTTTTATTAGTAGAAGGTGAATAAAAGTTCTTACTCCAATGTCGTATATCCTGATACCGCAGTCAGCAGAGTAGTCGTTGACAAGATCTATTTGGACGCAGTAGGGTGTGTTGAGTGTGGTATTTCGGGAGGCAGGACTGCGGGCAGAGAGTTTGAGTAACATAGTTCTCCAAAGATCGGTAACGGCAGAGCTGGATGCAATGGTATTTGAGAAGTCGTGGGCACGCTCCTCCAAGTGGATCGCCTTCCTAAGACAGCACCTCGCTCCATCCCAAGGACCGGTGGTGACAACGACTGAGGAGGATGACTCAAGACACGCCTCTGCCATTCCCGAGTCCATTCTACTCGCCAACTCCTCATAGGGTGCTTCCCAATGTGGTACATAACACACCAACAAAATTGCATTCTCGCACACGGTCTGAACTGAAGGGAGCAGTGATTTAGCGGTTACATCGAGGATCCATCACAATTCACCCTTTGATGCTACCACACTGTGCAGGCACATTATTTTCGATTGACAACTGCTGTAGATGATTATTTAAAGCCATTTAAGTGTGGACTGTCTTGACTGAAGGTTAAACTGTGGATTTTGGTACCTGTCCAGTTAGGAAATTTGGTGAGCCTTCCGAACGACGCTGATGGTTTTAGCCTCGTCAAAACCT